CCCCCTGCCCGTGGTGTCCCTGGGAGAGGGGCAGGGGGAGGCCAGACCGGGAGGCCCCCTGCCCGTGGTGTCCCTGGGAGAGGGGCATGGGCAGGCTGCTGGGCACTCATTCAGACTCCGGGCACCCCAGTGGCTTTGCAGGCCAAGTCCTCAGGGTCTGGCTGAACGCCCAGCCCACTCATCACCCACTTTCCCCATCCACCCAGCACACCTCACTGAGTGCCTATTAGACGCTGGGGCAGGCGAGGCTGGGGGCTCAAACATGACCAGCCCTGTGGCTGTCCACAGAGCAGGGAACAGACTCAGACGTGCAAGGGGGCAACTGCAGTGCTAAGGACAGCAAAGAGCCCCCCCAAGCCCGGTGTGTATTTGATCAGGAAGCTTGTCCCACATCTTAAAGGAGTGGTTTGTTGGGAAAGGTGCTCATTCCAAACAGAGGGGGGTGCAAGAGAGGAGGGGGGCGGGGGGTGGGTCAGGGGGCAGCCAGATGGCAGAGAGGAGGCTGTGGACTTTACTGAGGATAAGGGGGCGCCCAGGACCCGACAGGAGGATACCCAGACGCCCCCAAGATGCCAGTGGTTTAGTGCGCAACTACCCTGCTCAAGTTTTGAGGGGCAATGCTCCCCTGAGGGCAAGTTGGGGAGCTGCTACGGACAAGACCCCAGTTCTAAAACTCCACGAGAGACAGCCTCGATTCGACTTCAGAATGCTCTCACCACCCTACAGGCGGGGCCCTCACCCGACCACGGCCCGCGCCCTCGCCCCCTCGCAGGCCAGCGGCCTGGGGAGCGTTTCCCGGCCGCAGCCGGAGGCCCTCCCGCGCCAGGCCCGGGAGCCTCACCCCTCGGTGTACTCGGCTTGCAGTAGCCCCAGGTAGGCCTCCCACTTGTTGCCAACGATCTTGCCGCAGGTGAAGCAGCGCACGGGGATGATCATGGCTGCAGCACTAACGAGCTCGTCCCGCAGGCTGTCCGGGCGCCCGCCGCGCTCGCGGATTCTGGAGCCCCTTCCGCACACGGCGCGCGAGGAGCGCAGACCCCGCCCCGGGCGCGCCCACCGGCGCGGGGCGATCGACTTCCCCTCGCAGCCCGCCTCCGGCCCGCCCACCCCGGCTTGGGCGCCATGCCGTCGGCTCCTTGACGCGGCGAGTTTCCTCCGTGTGGGTCCGGGCTCCCTGGGGTCCACGCAGCTGCCGCAGGAGCAGCCGGCACCCCCCCACCTGAGGCCTTGGTACATCCCGGCGCGACGGCGACCGAGCGGGGCCGTAATAGTCGGCGGTGCGGTTCGCGTTTCTCGTGTCCGCATGACTGACAGCCTAGCGGCGGGAGCCGACGAGCGGGAGCAGCAGGCGGCGCGCGCAGGTACCGCCGCCTCCCGCCCGCCGGGGAAGTGCACCCAGGGTCCCGCCGCCCGCGGAGCCCCGAGCCCGACCAGGACCGGACCAAGAAGGCGGGCGCGGCGCCAAACCGGGGCGCCCAAGTTCGAGCCCCGAGCGCGGAACCTGAGCTGAGCCGCAGCAACAAGTGGCGGGCCAGGCGGGGGCGCTGCGGTCCCCGAGGGCCGACGGGGAGAGGGGCCGCCCGGGGCGGGAGGCAGCGGCTTGGCGTCCCGGGCCCGGCGCAGGCAGCCAAGGGCAGGTCTTCCCGCCACCTCTCCAGCCCGGGTGCCCCCTCTGCTGGGTTTAGGGTGTCAGATTCCCACCCTCAGGCCAGCCCCTCCGGGGGCACCGCCCTGGCCCCCTCGTCCGCACCCTGGCCCCGCATGTAACGGTCCGCACCGGGTAATTTCCTGTAGCCCCCGACGGCTGGAGTGCGAGGTGGAAACGCCGGCGGCCTCACGGTGGCGGCGATCGATCGGATCACGGCCTCGGCCAGCGGCTCCTGCCCCCCGCCCCCAGGGCGCATCGATCTGCCTAGGTCTGCGTCCACACCGCCCTTCCATCCTGGGAAGGCGACTGGGAGGCGGGAGGCAGGAGGGTCCGCAGCAGCCCCAGGCCGGGCTGTGCTGGGTAGCCCGTGATCTGGAGAGCATGGGCCGCTCAAAAGCGCCTCTGAAGACAAGGGCCAAGGGGGGCGAGAGGGTGTGGAGAAAGAGGTGTCCTTTGAACTGGACCTTGAAGAACGTAGGACCTCAGCAAGGGCCAGCCTGTGTGTGAATGAGTGAGAGGCCTGGAGGCTGTACCTGCAGGGGCGGCTGGTGCCTGGGCAGTGTGCTCTCAGGGGCCCTGGGAAGACGACAGGTGTGGGCTAGGGCCCAGGAGGGAGCCTGGAGGTGCTGGGAGCCAGCAAGGACTTAAAGGGAAGGAGAAGCTAGTGTCTTTGGGAATGGAGGGTGGTTGCCCCGGGAAGAGGGAGTGGGGATGGCGACAGTGTTGGGTGAGAGGTGTGGGGGTGGAGGTGTGTGTGCAAAGTGTAACCAGTAACTTAGGAGCACCTGCTGGCTCCAGGTAGGTCCCTGGCCTCTCTCTGGTTGTGTGGGCTCTCTGTTGGGGGCCTGCCCCCAGCCTCACCCCAGGCATCTGCCAACTGCCCTCTCAGGCTTACTGGCCCCTGGCTTAGTTGGAGACAGGAGAGAGGATGGGGAGGTCCCCTGGGTCTGGGTGGGGCTGGCCAGGGCTGCTGCAGCCTGGGGTCTGTGCCTCACCCTCACTTGAGCTCTGGGCAGCCTCCCCAGTGGCGTTTTCGTTCCCTGCTCCAGCCACGTGCCCAACCACGAGCTGAGTCCACTTCCCTTCTCGCCCTCCTCCCCCCAGGCTGGCTGGAGGCACATCCTGTCCCCGGCTGGTGGGGCAGGAGAGGGGGCCTTGAGTCACAGTAGCCTGGGGTCAGACTAAGGCTCAGCTGCAGAGCTGTTTGCGCCGTGGAGTGAGGGAGGTGCGGAGGTGAGTCAGGGGCCTGAGCAGGCTGGACCCTCGAGGGGCAGGGGGTGGGAGGTGCAGAGGTGAGTCAGGGGCCTCAGCAGGCTGGACCCTCGAGGGGCAGGGGTGAGAGGCTTCCTGGAGGAGGGGCCCAGGGCCTGCCCCACCTCTGCTGTGCCTCGGCCCTTGTTTACTCGGGAGAGAGCAAGGGGAATGAGCCTCCCGCCCAGAACCCAGCTGAGCCAAGCTGACATTCCTGGAATTCCCAGAACTGGGAGTGTGTGTGGTGATTTGGGGCCGGGCGGCCTCCTCTTCCTGAGCTCCTCCCTCCAGCTCCTTGATTTCCAAAGGCCTAGCCTGTGTGCATGCCCCCACAGGCGTGTTCATGCCCCCAACGAGCGTGTGCACGGGGCCCTCAGAGCATTTGCTCCTCCCCATCTGGACTCTGCTGGTGCTCAGGCTAGCCCGGAGCCCTGACCAGGCTAGCCCCGAGGACCCTGGGGCGTCTCAGTGGTTAGCTCAGCCCCACTTGCCCCTGGGTGGGCATGTCCCCGGGGGGGGTGGGGGGTGGTAGGCTGGGCTGGGGCCAGGCCCTCGTCAGGGTGGGCAGGGGTGGAAGGGGGCTGTGGGGGCCCAGGGCACTGGCCAGGGTGGGAGCTGTGCCTGCCTGCCAGGGTGGGGGGCCCCTTTCTTCAAACAGATGAGGCCCAGGCCGCTGGTGGGTGGTTTTCTGAGAATGTTTGGCCCTGGGGTGGGGGAGCTGCGCTCACATGTGGTCTGGAGCCCGATGACCACATTTCCGAGCAGAGGCGGGTCACCTCAGGGCAGGGTACAAGAGGAGGTTAGAGACTGACTTCCCAGCTTTGATCCCTCCTCCCCTGGAAACAGGCTGGCCCCCGGAGGAGGAAGTGGGGCAGCCTGGGGTGGAGTACTAGGGTGGGAGTCGGCCGAACTGCCTGCTGGACTGGCTCATGGCCTCAGTTTCCCCATCTGTAAAGCTCGCGGCCGGACCAGAAGCTGCCTACCGTGAGGGTCAGTCCCCCCAGCCCCTGGCCTCCTCGACATTGGGTGTGATCCTTTGGTGGGAGTGGGGGGTGGGAGTGACTCCCCTGGCCTGGGCTCTTCCCCCGGAACCCCAGCCTCGACCCCGCGCCCCACCCTCTGGCTGTGCGGGCCTGTTTCCCGGCTGGGCCCGGCCTGCTTGCTTTGGATAGATGTGTTCTCACACGGCTGTGCACTGCATGTGGGAGTGTGGCTACAGCACGCGTGTCGATGCACATACACGCTCTTTTGCACATACACCCCCCCCAGGGCCAGATAAGGGTAGGTAGGGGGGTGACTGCCACCCCCATTAACCCCTCCAGTGCTGCAGCCAGCTGAGTGCCCCCTGCCACAGCACTCAGAGGACCTTACTCCCCGTGACCTGAGCCACATGGGCACACGTGTGGGTGGGCTCCCACGCTCCCACGTGGAGAAGAAGCTATGGGAGGTGGTGTTTGCAGCCTTGGACACGCCTGGCTAGTGGCATTTGAAAATGTCACTGCTGGGGGCTGCCCTGTGGATCTGCAGGCGTGGGGTGGCTGGGGGGGGGCATGAGTACTTTGCTTACGCTGGAGCACTGAGGTAGGGTGCTCCCTGGGGCTGGGTGGGTGGGCAGGCGGCCCCCCAGGGTCTTAACTGTGTCCCCGGCACCGTATTCCCTCCTGGCCTCCAGTGAAGAAATACCTGAGTGGGGGCAGCGGGAGGGGAAGGCCCCAGGCTCTGGGAAGGCTGAGGTGGGTCCAGGAGGAAAGACTGGTGGTGGGCCAGTGGGCCCCTTGGTAGCCCTTCCCAGTGCCTGGGGGCCCCTCCTGGCCCTCCATTCTGCCTGCCCACTCCCTGGAAGGGGGTTTAGGTGGGAGGAGGTTGTCCCCCAGTCCTGCTCCTCTGTGTGTATGGGGTGCCAGCCTGTCAGGCCTGGGTCTTGGTGGTGCCCCTCCCCCAGGGTGGGGTTTGGGTGGGCGTGGGGGCCCCCCAGGGTTGAGCAGCTGGCAGGAAGGCAGATACCGTGGCCTGTTTGTGTTGGCCAGGCCCTGGCTGCCTCCTCACAGCCGCCTCAGAGCCCTCGGCGTGGGGGGCCTAGGCTGGTGGGCGGGCTCCATTCTCCTCCAGGAACTGCCTGCCAGGCCGAGCTTGGAAACTGGGGTTGAGCTCCTTGGCACCCACCGACCCAAACTACTAGGCCGGGAGAGTGGGCCCCCGCTGACCACTGGCCCATCTGCCCGGCATTTGTCTTCAAGTTGGCTGTGGGCAAGCTCCGTTTTGGCATTTGGGGAGGTCCCTCTTTGTGTCGGATCTTGGTCTGGCTAGGTAGGTACCCAAGTGGGTGCCCAGGTGGGTGCCCATGTAGGTGCCCAGGCTGGCAGAGCTGTGTGTGTCTCTGTCTGGGCCCCTCACTTGGCCGTGTCCCTGGCACCCACTCTGTGCTGATCTGGGGGTGCAGGAGATATTGGTCCCAGAGTGGGGCAAGAGGGCTTCCTGGAGGAGGAGGCCAGAGCTGATGAAGGAGGGAGCAAGCCCTGGGCCTGCCCCCTCCCCACCTGGGGTCTGTTGAGGCTGGGAGAGAGAGCATGTACTGAGCTTGGTCCTGGCCGGTCCAGAGATGAGACTGTGGCAGGGAGGGGGCTGGGAATGTGGCCTGGCTCTGGTGTCAGTCTGGGGGGTGCTCTGTGCTGGCCCCCACCACAGTCCATGCCACACATAGGTGCACAGGGGCATTTGGGGAGGGCAGGGCTGGAGGGATCTGCTCTTTAGGGTACAGGGGTATTGGGGGGCCACGACTCCGCAGCCTTGGCCCGTGGCCTTGCCCTTAACCACTGCTCTCTGCCCCCTCCCAATGGGCAGGGGAGTGCGGGGAGCCTCTGGGGATGAGGTCCCAGCCTCTGCCTGAGTGCTGGGGGGTATGGGCAGAGGGGTGGGGGGTAGATGCTGCCTGGTTTTTAGCTTCTAGAATGTGGCTCTGGGCCCCTTAGCTCCCGGGATGGGGGTGGGGGGTTGCCTCTGTATATAGCAGAAGGATCCTGCTGCCCTGGATCCTTCATTCCCCTGGAACCTTCTAGAGGTCGGTTGGGAGTGGGGGAGGGGTCCTGGGTCTGCAGTGAGTGCTG